TGAGAGTTAATCCTGGATCTATGCGCACGTTATCTCCCAAGCAGCAACTTCTGTTGTCTTCGATCCAGCCTTGTCTTCAACTTCAAGAAAATTCCACTATATCTTTGTATAACATCTCTTAATTTCCACGAGCACATCAGATCTCAACTCTTGAGATGCAAGAAAGCAGATTCCAAAACTTGCTAATCGTGAGCGGGAGAATCCTCACAGCGCGCAAAATAAACCGACCAGTAACCTTGTAGGTGATTCTGATTACCACGGGTTACCTGTCAAGGGTTATAGGGAACTACTGGGTCGGCCCATAAGTAATGGCGTTTTTTCCCCACTCGAAATATCGCGCTGAAGAAGAAAAGTTTTGCCATGAGTTTCATACCGTTTTGCAGAGAATTCCTTGCCCTACACGATAGTCTTCTTAGTTTTCTTCAAGTTTCTCTTTCCACTAATATTTAAGTGCTCAAACTGGAGTGTCAGGTCGACGAAATTGAGCATTTTCGACAGCCTCTCTTTTATACCTCTAATTGAAAGCTAAAACCGCATAAGCCCAGCTGCTAAGTATATGGCTGGAAGGCTATGTCTCTTAGGAATGCTAATAATACTTTAGGTGATTCGAAGATTTCAGTTTCGACCTCACAGACAAGCATCGAACCTAATGCCCTATTCTGTCCAACTGAGAGCTTACGGAATTACCTTATTAACTGAGAATCATGCCAAAGATTGAGGGATCGTTAGAGGTCATAGAATGCTTCCTTATCATTATCAACCACCACCCTCAGTTGATGTTAGACGTTCGAAAATAAGTGGGTAGGTTCTGCAGGCAGTCCCTCCCCAAGAGGGCCCCTCACGCGATGCTTCCCACCTTTTGATCGCTTGAACCAACTTCAAGCTGTCATAAGACGCATCTTTCTTTGGTCATATATATCACAAGGTTTGAGCTTCTTCTGTAGATTGAGAGCCGAGATAAAATTCAAAAAGTAGTTGTCGAAAACTCACTTTTGGGTCGACCCGAATTTCCCTTTCAATGAAATAAAAATCGACACAAGTCGAGAAATAGTAAGAAGGCAATTATACTATCTTATAGTGCGGAAAATTATCTATCAAACAGTGTAGAACATATTGGGAACAATTGTCATTTTCCATATAAAAATTTGTGTGACAAAAAAACGCCATTACTTATGGGCCAACCTAATATTTTGTAGGGAAGTGACCACAACTGGAAGGTTTGCTGCTATGTTTCGCCTTCACTCGTTTCTCAGTTCTAAGGTTTCATCACTGTATAGATTCACGTTACAGCCCAGTCTTTTTTTTCAGTAGATTTATACGAGCTCGAAATCAGCTGCAGAAATGCGAGCCCTAATTAATACTATTGAAGTTATTCCTTTATACTTTTCCTTACTTGTGGGCCATTGAACAGCTACAGTTGCACATTTTGGCCCACATCCTATTGTTGTGGAACGTGCTTCTCAGATCTTAACACCTAGGAAATCACTTACCGTCCTTGAGTTAATCACTACTCGAGCGAACCCCAGACGTTTTCCCCATAGCATGTCGTACACGTTGGGATCGGAGAAGAGCGCTTCTCGCACACCTGCAAAGCAATACCACAGTTAGGATCTTTAGCGTTATCTCTACTGTAGGGACTGTTGCCGTTTCCCAGAGCTTTTTTCTTTCTCTTTTCGTTCCTAAGCGCGCATCTAACAGGTCTTGAAATTCTCCGTAAAACAATAGAGGATGAATTGAGAAACGCTTAGTTTCCTATACAAAATTTTATGAAAGAAAAGCTTCCATTCATAGGTCTGCCTAATACTACATGATACTAACACTAACCTCCAGGAGCTATGCAGAGAAGATTGCCTTCTCTCAATTGATTAGTGCATTCCTCAACAGTGCCGGGCGTGATCATGAATACTTTACAGATAGCACTCCAACCTGTGGAATGGAATTATTTAATATGATCACAAGAAAACAAAACTTATAACAGCAATAACCTGGAATTTTGAAGATGAACTTATCGCCAACGCAATGAAGCGAACGGTTTTTGTGAAGTACCAGTTTAGCGATGAGGTAGTATACATCCAACGGCAGACACCCGTGGTAATATATAAAGAGGGCAGACCCGTTATCTGGCACGTTTTCGATACCATCTAATTCATAACCTGAGAAGAAGGTATGTTCAACATCTTTATATAACCAGTATGATCGCAGCAGACCCTTGCAGCACTGTGAATAACGAGTTATCTTTTTCCTCAAGGAAAAAGCTCACGGATCTGACAGGGAACTTTGCTTTTCTTGTGCTTAAGTGTTAAACTGTAATTTAAAATTTAATCCCACTTTAGGGATTCATGCTAATCGTTCGAGCAGCTCAATTGGTCAACTTTAATTTTCTACAGATCATTCTCTTGAAAAATTGACTGGATACAGGGCACGTCCTATAATGAGGAATACCCAGCGAGGAGAGGGGGTCGTGTTTGGTCTGTGGAGGAAGAAGAGTTGTATTTCATCTGACTAGGGAAGGTCGTCAGGTCGAAGTGGCCATTTGTAATGAGATGTAGCTCACTAGACGTGGTTTTGGACGCTGATCTCGAATCTGCCTTCGAAATTTGCAGAAGCGATTCTCTGAACGGAGTTATGGAGCTTTTTCCACCGCGTTTACCACGCAACAGGTCGTGGGATCGGATCCCTGCTGAGCTTAACTTTTTTGCTTTGTGCAAACGTGGCAAAAAGTGGTTGTAGCGTGCCACTAAACATTAGCGCTCTCCTCCCTGATATCCTGAAAACAGTGGTTGCGTTCACTGTACTGGCTGCGCTAGTGCCTTATATCTAGGGGAACTTTTGGTATTACAGGTGCTTGGCGGCGCAGTGCAGGGCGTTTCGCGTCAGCCAGCACGTGCATATCCTTGTTTATTGGGGCGAACTACGCCTAGGTAAAGGTTTCTAGCCGAATTTGGCATTTTGACCTGACTTCGAAAAGTGAAGCATCCATGGGTGAGTTCAAGCTGATGTCCACCTGATGCAGTGCAGATAAATGATTTACTGGGCGCATCTGTCCTCGTCTTGTCACTTCTTACACATTCATTTTGTTATTGCTCCAGTTTTCTTGGCATCTAAAAGCAAATTTCGTCCAAAGACAAGCAATCGACAAGAGACTGGCCCTGGAACTATTGCTGACCATCATTCGATCAACTGCTACCGCACTTTTCAAAGTTAGGTCAAAACCTCACATCTGGCTAGAAACCTGTCCCCAAGGGTAGTTTTGCTCCCTGAACACGAATATGGCACCCATTTGGCGTTTGAGTGTTTTCTAGACTCAAAAGAGACATTCTTCAGAAAATGCAAAAGAAGTTCCCTTTCACATGTTCGAACCTTCATGGCATGCCTGTGAAGCAAGGCCATGACCACTACACCATGCCGCTGAACGTAATGTGTGCTTCCCGGCTATCCATGCGAATTGGCTGGCAACCGCCCTCGACTACGTTTTCCTTCATTAATTCTAACAAACCTTCATAATTCCTTTCAGAGAATCGCTTCTGCAAATTTCGAAGGCAGATTCGAGATCAGCGTCCAAAACCACGTCTAGTGAGCTACATCTCATTACAAATGGCCACTTCGACCTGACGACTCTTCCCTAATAAGAAAAGTTTTTTGATAGTCGACTTTTCCGGTCACGGCGCTATTCTCATCCCTGGGAGGACTTCAATGGAGGGGAAGGAGGGTCGATTTGCTCATCGTTGGAAGAAGAGGTCGTACTCGCCTTCCAGGAAATTCGCCCATGAGGAAAAATCCTGATAAATATCGGAACAAGTGGTAGGAAAACCTGGCGAGATGGTAAGCAGGATCAAGGAAGGGGAAGGGGTTGTACTTTCCGAAAAATTCCCCCAGCGACAGGACGTGAACTACTCGATCACTCGTAATGGAAGACAAGAGCGCTAGAACATTTGATTAAAGGCTACGCACCGTGCCAAACGTGTCCAACCGCATCCCAGAATGACGTGATGGCAATACGTGCTCCGTTCCAATAACTAGTATGGTAAGCCTCACGAATTTGGTGGCGAAACCCATAAACGTGAAGAAATATTACACAACCATAAATGAATATCACCAGGAACGCCGGCACGACGAATACAATGATGATCGGAAGAAAAAGCCATAGAAGGTACTGAAATTTGCAATATCAGAAAAATTACAAAAATGTTTTGGAAATGCAGGGTTCAACGAATATTACCTCACTATTTAATATATCCTCAAACCAATTCAGAGGCCATACCGTCCACATAACCGCGGTATCATGTTACTAGTTCACCAAAAAAGAGAAGCACAAAAATTGTACGCGATCACTTAATTTGTTCCGAAAAAACGCACCGAGAAACGATAACCAATTATGTCCAGAGGAACCCAGAAGCGGAAAATCGGAAGCCAATGTTTGCAAAGACGGTATGCATTTAGTAAACAGTTTCCAGAACATGTAAGGTGCAGAGCACGGCATGACAAAGAGGTAGATTTCAAAACTCGAGCTCATTCCTTGGGGTATCAAGGCCGAAAAGGAACAACAAAAAAAATTCTGTGTCCACATTCCCATTCTTTAATTGCAATCAATACAAAAAACAATATGTATGAGGTTCATTGTTTCTGTCGCAAAAGTGACGCTACGCTTATAAGGGTGCTCTAAAAACCCGTGACAAGTTCTTGAACATCGTACCAAATCTTTCCTAATTATTTACAGATCCAGTCATGCGGCCTAACTGACTCTTCAGAGAGGGAAAAAGCAAAAAATCATGGAGAACACTGTAAGGACCACCTGGCAGCCTCACTGTATGAGTTGCCCAAATCCGCTCCTTTTATGCCAGCAAAGGTATCTTGCCGCCTTGCGGCTCAGTTATCATGTTTTTTAGCGTCACCCAATGTTGAACCATCTACGAAGAAAGAAATTTTCACACCTCGTTTTTTCGGTTGAAACACGGTGTAAAAAAAACTCGTGACAGATAATAGCCTTTGAGTGGGGCCGGGCAATTAGGAGGCGTCAGAACTGCCACTTATGAGACTCGCAGCGCTTTCGGTACTTACTGTAAAGCCGCAAAAATGGGATACTCGTAGAAAATGAAGGACCCGACAACTTGAACAAGGAGGGACGCCTACAGAATGCTTGAGCGCGGGGACTGTCTTCACGTAAGCGACCCAGATCTGCTTAATCATCCTCCGTAGCCGCTGTTTACATATTCCTAAATCTCGATTGATAAGAACGCCGTTGAAGCTACACGCGGTATTTCCTCCAAATTAGGTGCTGGTGCTACTTCCGTGGTGGGGTATCAAAATGGCACTAATGTTTTCGCATAAAGACAGACCGCGCGCTCGACCATTTCGCAGGATACCTCGCGCGCTCAAGTAGTCCGGAGCGTAGCCGTAAAGGCTGTCCCACTTTCGCGACTACCCAGCCCATCGCGGCCATCGTTATACATGTTATATCGAACGTTATACCGCATATAACTGCAACTTATGATGGCCGCAGCACTCTCGTCAGCGTGACATCTTTGCGATAGGCACCAGGCTGCTTGGGGGAAAAAAGCATTGCTACGAATTAGTTAAGACCCGGCTCCGTCTTTGAGCGACATCAAAGTGGAATTCGACCTGCTGCGCTGTTTGACTGAAACCAATTCTTCTCGAATTAGCCAGTTTTTAAGCCACAACCATTCCATCAATCCATTTGTTATTAAACAGAAATGTAAAAGTCTATATGTATCGCTCTGTACAGTAGTAATATGACAGATTTGACGTTAACAATAATTATCTTTTTCACACAGAATCAAGTTTTCACCACAGACCAATCCCTTTGTGGGATGCGGCACGCATTCTACTTCCATTCAGAATCGTGTCGGCTTATTGAATGCGATGTGGCCTATACAATGACTTGCGGGCCAGCCGATGTACAGTCGTCATCCTTGCACTTGATAGTCAATGTCAGTGCGGCTGCGTGCGGCGCGGTCGTCAGCACCCGTACTGCACCAATCGTTGAACCAGAGAAGTGACATTACTGTATTATATCCTTCGTGTTACTCGTTTTCTATCACTTTTTGTCGCATACGCGTTTCAACGAAAAGCTGAGCAAGCTTCAAACAGTGTGTCACGCTCCTTCCAGCCGACACGGGATGACGGGCGCCTCGACTACGGGCCCCTAATTCAAGTGCAAGGATGAGGACATGTAGAAGTAGAGTGTAGTCCTCGCAAGAAAGTCTGGTAGCCAATCCAACGGTCCCGGAGACAGGTTTGAGTTTGGCCTGCGGGAAACCGATCCAGGATTTCGAATCTGATCGTGCGCATACGTGGCCGCTTTCTGATATTGCCAATTTGACGACCAGAAAAGAAACTGACTCACTCCTGTGGCATCGTATGAGATGTTCCACAAAATAATGAGATTGCCACATATTCAAAGAATGCGGTTCCATTATGCAAAGTCCCCTCTCCCTGCTTATATCTGCAATCGCCATCCTAATTTATGACACCTCCAAAAGGAACCATGATCATGAAACATAAAGAAATAGCAAAAGCATATACTTTTGATAATAACAGGCTGAAACACGAAACAGTTTATTGGCATTTAACAGCTTTGCAAACCGACATCAAGAGAAAAACCCCGAAACTGACGTCGCCTTTAGTGTCAGTTGGTTCAAAACAGAGTCGAGTCGAATTTCGCGATGACTAAAAGCGAATGTTTTATTCGATAAGGACACAGAGCAGTCGACGCAAAATTGGCCGGTGCCAGGTTACAGTGCCGAATTCAAATTTCACCAATTTCGGCCGCCGTGAGTCTTCGACTAACTCTGTCTGAACGGTAAGCGGGTGTTGCAATACGGAACATGGGCCAATGAAAGAGCACTTTTGAATGCCTCGGCATCGACCGGTCCAGATCCGTAATGGATAAGCGCGCACTACTTGCCTCCCTGGGGACCGGGTTTTTTTCGTGCTACTTGAAAGAAGGAAAAGGGTGATTCAACGATTTAATTTGCTCATTCAGTCGTTACCAGATGCGAATTTCCGCTTCCATTCATAGCACACTACGTTGATGAATTTTTAACAATTTTTGATCAACACAGTGACTGGGTCTAGGAAACAATGTTTCTCGCATAAAATTTTACCCCTGCGTGACAGTCTGATCATTGAGACCTTGAAGTCTTCGTTCCTCAAGAGAAGAGAATTTGTCGGCGCTGTTTATCGACGGGGGGGGGGCATTTTGTATTATAATTGCTTCCCTGGTTCCGGTTTACAAATCTCACTCTGGTAAAACTTGTGAACGCTTGTGAAGCTGGAGCAAGATCGTCTAGCCACCATCCTAAAACGTGTCAACTCGAAAAAAGGGTACCTAGATGGGTTGGCAAATCTATGAAAAGCAGAATCCCCCTCCAACGCGTCGATACAGCGCCGAGAATTCTTCGTTCATCATGACTAGATTGACTCGTAGAAGAAGATGGCGACGCCTCTGACAGCGGTTCGTCATAGATAGAAGAACATTGAAGAGTAACGAAGAGTGGAAATAATGGCAAGGCAATACCATGATTTGACGTCCACCAAAATTGCAGAAGGGATAGGTGAGGGAATTTGACGGTACCATGTCAAACTTAGTGGCACCATGTTAAACTTAGTGTCCTGAAGGCATGTCCCACGACTAAAAATTGTAGTTACTGAAAATGGTAGGGACAAGGTGGCAGCTAGCTCAGCAGTGAAAAGAAGCGAAAAACCTGCAAAATGATCAGGATAGGATCCCCTGCTGACCCGTGCTATGGGTAAGCAATGAAATAAGGGCTGGACTAGTCCAGTTTTCATATACTGACATCATAATGTCTGTTCTGTTCCCTTTTTCCATCACTCTCACCATTTGCGATGAGAAGAGCTCGCAACGAAACAGCCAGACCATCAGGTGGCTGTTGGAAGGTAACGTTGACTGTGGTATGGGCTTATGGGCGGAGCAATGCCTTCGCCGCGATCCGACGGCTCGTTACCATTTATTTCTGAGCCGCTAATGTGATATTCCAATGCTTCTGACAAGACTACCTTTAACCCTTGATAAGCCCCTGGAGGTCTTCCATTTGTCAAACTTTGCTCGGAGTCACAGTCGAGAAACAGAGCAACAACCAAATAAACGCGAATCTTAGAATGGAATAAAAAAATCAGTCTAGAACTCAAACCCAAAAAAATTTGAGGGTGGTTTTATGACGTATCAAGACTCAATGATACGGTTGCAAAAAAGGCTATCTACAGTCTGTCCTTACTGCCTAACCACACAACTTCGTTGTGAAGAAACCGCGTCTGCTTAGGCTGGCGCTCCGAATATTTTGTAATCTTCAAGTACCTTCAAATGGCTCTAATTTCTTCATTTATAACCTATCCAGTCGAGCGCCTCATCGTGCCAAACCGGATGCGACATCTCCCGAGCCCTTTTCCCCATATTCCCCAAGTATCTCAAAAAAGAATTCGCCTTCCGTGCCTCCACCAGTCGCGCGACTCATACAATGAATAAATTAAACGCAGCATGCATGGGACATCATATTAATTTATTTATTCATTTATTTATTTATTTATTAGGTTGTTCGGAAAGGAATGCGCGTTTGAGTGTAAAAAATTTTTATTATAAAAACGAAATTAAACAAGGTCAATCTAAAAGATAATCTCCATTACTAGCAATGACTTGTTGCCAACTGTACGCAAAAACTTCGCCAAAAGAGCCTCTTTCACTACTTTTCCCCTCGGGTGTGTCGTTAGGTCCGCCGGAGAGGAAATGTAGGTCAAAAGAGCCTCTTTTTGCCAGTTTTCTCGCCGAGTGTGTCGCTAGGTCCGCCCGCTGCCCCTGTGAGCCGAGTGGGTCATTAGGTCCACCCAAGTGCGTCGTTAGGACTTGCTTGAAATCTTACCACATACAGTCGTGATCCCTCAGACTGGCCATCCGTAATTGCGTACTTCACTGGGACGCGACGGCGGCTGCAGTAGGAGTGGCGATCGATGCTGCATGATCACCTGATTTCAGCGATTAATTTTTCTATTTTGCCTGTTATTCTGCTAACTAGAAGGAAAAGTGAGTTCATATTATTTACTCTAATTTGAGGTTTTATTGTATATTTTGCTTTCAGTCGCTATTTGACTGCAGTGACGGTGTTTTTACCCACTTTTTTTGATTTTGTTTAGGTTTTTTTTTGTTTGTGCTTTGAATGTTGGACTGTTCTCCATGGCAGTGTCGTTATGTGTCCTCATTAGTACAAAAAAAACCTAAACAAAATCAAAAAGTGGGTA